CTATGTGTACTATTCTTGATTTTTGAGCATTAATAAAAAATAAAATAAATTAAAAAAAGGGTCCGTTGCTATTACATAGATGTAAACTAAAATAAAAGTCTTCCAGGTAAAAAAAAACCAAACGTAAACATCGTATGCCATGGTTGTAGTGAAACAGAAAGAAAACAAAACACAGCTACACATGAATGCAGAAATAATTTATTTAGGCCAGTCCATTGGAAGACACCTAATTATTGTGGATTAGGAGCAGAGTACAGATAATGGGTTTGAGTTAGTCATTTGCTTTTTGTTGCCGAATGTGCTGCCAAGAACATATGAAACTGATTCAAAATGTCATGTATTAAAGCACTGGCATTCAAATAATCTCCAATACACACCTTTTGAAGCTGCAGAATGCACAGATCTGCCTACTCTTACACAACATCACCAGTGTCCTTTCATTTTTGGCATGTGGTTTGCAAAAATAATCTGGACCAAAATTATGAAGGAGCACAATCCATAGTGGCAAAATTCACACGGAGATGTTTCTTCACTCTACAACATTCACGCATTACACATCCTAGGTGCCAATACATGCGACTTGTCTGTAAACTAGTTAGGATATACAAAACACACCTTGGGAAAAAAATACAAAGTGAGTTCTCTTCTTTGCCATTTGATTTTAAGGCATAGAAATCTTACAAAAACACTTTATAACCTGAAACAAATACAAAAGTGTGTGCCAATATGACAAATGGAGCAGCAGACAGTGAGCGGTGGTCTGCAGAGTGAAGGCACTAGTAGAAACGTGAGCTTCTCTCTGTCCTCTCTGATTCTGGGCAGTATTCCTCGACTGACACAATGGGAGACACGTGTCTATGGATGTCTTTAATAATTGGCTCGTAGTCGTTTGTTTTCTTCTCTCAGTCTTTCTATCTCCTCGATGAGGGAGTCGTTCACAGAGTATTTCTCAATCAGACCATGGATTTCATTCTGGAAAAGATGAGTGGCATGATTAAAGAGGCGTAATAATCTTTTTTTTTTTTTTACTTAATTATGGATTTGGCCTGTAAAAGAGACAAATATACCAGCTGAATATAGAACTGCCGAACCATCTCCACCTGCAGATTGATAATGTCTCTATGACAAGTGTCCCTGAGGAAACAACAAAACAGTCATTAATGACTAAATTACTCTAAATCTGAATATTTATCTGATAGATAGATGTCTATCTATCTAGATAGTATCTAAATATGAATATATGGTTTAATTAGTAAAAATATTATGTGTGTAAACACACACACATATACTATATATGTCTATGTACTGTATATACACACACAATATAGTGTTATTTTAGTATCATTGAGATAATAATGTAGATTTCATTAGTAATTTAAATTCTTTTTTAAAAATTTTTAATTTTTGTTGTGTTTTCATCATCTCTTTTGTCTTTTAGTGTTTACTCATTTTTATATCAGTTTTAGGTGTTTTCATTTAAGTTAAACTAAATGAAAACAAGAAATGATTCCTTGAAATCTAACTGAAATACAATAACTTTATATATATTTTTTTAACTATAATAACCCTGATATATACACTACCGTTTAGTTTAATAGTTTTGGTTTAGTTTAAATCATTTTTTTCTTTTTTTAAAAATAAATTACTACTTGTATTCATCAAGAAATCATTATATTGACCAAAAGTGACAAAGATATTTATCTTACAAAAGATTTCGATTTCATATGTTCTTTTGAACTTTCTATTTATTACAGAACAAAGAAAAAATGTAGCAGTTTCTACAAAAAATTTAAGCAGCGCAACTGTTTTCAACTGATAATAATACAAAATGTTTCTTGAGCATCAGATGACCATATGTGACCCTGGAGCACAAAAGCAGTCTTAAGTCGCTGG